GGGGAGACGCAAGGGGACTGCAGATGCAGGGATCACCCTGAGATGCATTATGCCCTGAAAGAAAGAGCACCTATCTGGAGGAAACGGGCCAAGCCTCAGTCTAAATCAGACCAATGTTCTAAGCCCCTTTGGGCTATCTCCACATTCACACGTGCAAAACCAAACAACTTATCATGTTCCCTCCCACCCAGCCCATCACCACCTAACTCCTTCCTCCTCCTATGTTCTCTGTGATTTCCATCACATTCTCCCAATCACCAAGGCCAGAAATACCAGTAAATTTAAACTTCTTCTTCTTGCCTAATACTGAATTAAAGCCCAAGTCCTTGCGAATTCACCCCAATTACATTTCTTAGACTTATCCCCACCCCCTGTGCCCCAACTTTTCTTTCCCACTGCCCCAAGCTCAAGAGGCCCTTTGGAGTCTGGTGCTTTGTAACAAAGATACATTTTACAGTGTTTTTGTTGTTGTTGTTTTAAAAGCAAGAAACACATGTTGAACGCAATATGGGGGAAAGAGCATACGTTTTGGGGTGAAAAAGATAATTCAGGGGGCCGGCCCGGTGGCGCAAGCAGTTGGGTGCGTGCACTCCACTTCAGCGGCCCGGGATTCACAGGTTCGGATCCCGGGCGCACACCGACACACCACTTGTCAAGCCGTGCTATGGTGGCGTCCCATACAAAGTGGAGGAAGATGGGCACGGATGTTAGCTCAGGGCCAGTCTTCCTCGAGAAAAAAGGGGAGGATTGGCATCAGATGTTAGCTCAGGGCTAGTCCTCCTCACACACACACACAAAAAAGATAATTCAGAATCTTAGCTCCATTTATTAACTGAGTGACCCTGAGCAACTTACTTATTTCTCTGAGCCTCAGTTTCTTTCTCTGTAAAAAGAGACTTAATACCTGAATAGCAGGTTTGTTTGTAAGGATAATGGAACCTGAAGTAGCAAAAGTATTCACTATACAGTAGCTATTATGACATTATAACTGTTTATTTATGTTTTTTTTTTTCAGTGAGGAAGATTAGCCCTGAGCTAACATCCGTTGCCAAGCCTCCTCTTTTTGCTGAGGAAGATTGGCCCTGGGCTAACATCCATGCCCATCTTCCTCTACTTTATATGTGGGATGCCTGCCACAGCACAGCTTGATAAGCAGTGCGTAGGTCCATGCTCGGGATCCAAACCTGCGAATCCCTGGGCCACTGAAGTGGAGCTCATGAACTTAACCACTATGCCACCAGGCCAGCCCCAACATTATAACTGTTTAATGTATACATACTTCATATGCTGTAGGTACTTAAATATTACATTTGGAGTAGACTTAAAATATAAACCATGATCAAAATATTGTGTTTCTGAAACCTGTTAGGTTCCTTGATTCTTTCTAGGTATGTTAATTTTTTAAATCTTCAATCCATGCTTATTTGAAAAGCTAACTCACACCAAAAGAAAGGAATGAAGAATTTTAATGACAGCAACAGACTTTTTACTATTACTATTTTATGTAAGTCAAGTCCAGAGAGCATATTTTAACAAGCCAGAAAGCAGGCCCACTTTCATCCCTCTTAACCAAGCAAAACTGTCCTTAATTCACACATTTAAAACTCCCCAAACAGATTTCACAGCAGTGTATTCACTGTGGTATGAACCCAACAACTGAGCGCTTATCACACAATGCACTTACTTGTCCCATGTAATAAAAGTCGCTCTCTGTGTTGAAATGCCAAGACCAACAATTTGATTCATCTCTATTCCTGCAGCTAAAAATAAAGAGATAAAAACACAGGTTTAAAAGCCAGTGAAGTTTTCCTTTACAATTTTACAATATGGAAAATAAATCAATTAATATAATCTAAGAAAAACACCTGGGTTTAGCATTTTATTTTATTTTTTTATTTTTATTTATTTATTCTTTTGTGAGGAAGAGCAGCCCTGAGCTAACATCCAATGCCAATCCTCCTCTTTTTGCTGAGGAAGACTGGCCCGGGGCTAACATCTGCGCCCACCTTCCTCCACTTTATATGGGACGCCACCACAGCATGGCTTGACAAGCAGTGCCTCAGTGTGCGCCTGGGATCCGAACCCGGGCCGCCAGTGGCAGACCGCATACACTTAACCACTACGCCATGGGGCCGGCTCCTGGGTTTAGCATTTTAATAACACAATTGGAGCTAATAAATAAAGCATTACTGAGATGATTTTGTAGTACTTTTTTACTTAAAAGGAGAAAAGGTCATATTCCAATAATAACAAAATGGCCTTATTGCTTTAAATGTTAGAAAAAAACAAACACTACTCAAAGTCAGTCAGATAGTATTTTCTTTCTGATAATACTAAAAGATTGGATCTTAAAATAAAAATTAAAAAAATAAAAATGGATTTTCTATTCCAAATTTCTTAAAATATAGCATCTCGGGTGTTTTTTGTGATATTCTTTTAAAAAGCAATTTCTCCCACTGGGCAAATTAATGACAACTTCAATTTGAGCAGTGAGGAAGACACATTACCCCTCTACAGTACTCCTTCCAAAAATATTTACCCTTGATAAATAAACAGTAAGCAATAGGATATATTGGAGTGTATGAGGAAGCCATTTGGTATAAAACTAATTTAGCCTGAGCTTGTTTTTCCAAAAGGGCCTGTGGCCTTTGAACATGCATTGTATATATGCTTTAAGCAATTAACCTGTCCCAAAGACAAGAACAAATGCCCTTAAGATAAGGATGCAACTTGCTCCACATTGGCATTTCCTTAAGGATAAGTATCTCCCCCTAGGCTAGGATTTGATTGCTGCACTCATCTGGTAACAACTCAAGACAACAGACCTGCTACCTGCCACGCCCATCAAGACAGCAGATCTGCTGCCCGCTGTGTCCATCAATCACTATGCTGACAGGGCAATCTGGCAGGGCAATCTTGTGACTACTGTAAAAGGGATGTTGCAATCACATGTGATACATGCTCTTTGATGGTATATAACCGCTCCATACACCCCACTTCTTTGGTGCCCTTCCTTCCTTGGGGAAGGAAGGCCCAGGCTATATGGTGATCAAATTTGGCTCATAATAAACTCACCCCAATTTTGATTTATAGATTGATTATGGATTACTTGCACTGACACCCTGAATCTCATCACAAGGCAATAATTAGACAACCCCAACCGAGGGACAGTCCACTAAACTGGTCTGTACTTTCAAAAACTGTCAATGTCACAATGAATATCATTATACGAGTGATTGATTATATTGATTAATCTATAATGAGTAGATTAAAGGAGACTAAACAGACTGACTGCTAAATGCAATGCCTCATCTTGGGTTGGATTGTGGACTGAAACAAAAGTTATTAATAACTGAGATAAGAAGTGAATATTGAAGACTAAGTATTAGAAAATATTACTGCATTAATGTTAAATTTCCTCTGTGATAACTGCATTGTTGTTATACAGGAGAATACTCCTTTGCTTTGAGATAATGCTGAAGTACTTAGGGGTGACATGTTATGCTGCAACCAACCCTCAAATGTGTCAGCCAAAAAAAAAAAGTTTGTGGAGAATGGTAAAGTAAACATTACAAAACCTGTTTGAATGTAGGAGAAGTTATACAGGTGTTCAACGCACTACTCTTGCAACTTTTTTTTAATAGGTTTTGAAATATTTCAAACCAAAAAGGTGAGGAGAAGCAATTCAGCCAGAAAAATGAAGTAAAAGACCTTTTAGATTTTACATTCACAAGTCATTTTTCACCACGTTCTTTTTTTTTTTTTTTTAAAGATTTTATTTATTTATTTTTTCCCCCCAAAGCCCCAGTAGATAGTTGTATGTCATAGCCGCACATCCTTCTAGTTGCTGTATGTGGGACTCGGCCTCAGGATGGACGGAGAAGTGGTGCCTCGGTGCGCGCCCAGGATCCGAACCCGGGCCATCAGCATCAGAGCGCGCGCACTTAACCACCAAGCCACGGGGCCGGCCCATTTCGCCACGTTCTTAAAGAAGGCTGCACTGAAAACGTTCTTAAAGAGCTAAGATTTCAGACCACGGCTGCGGCCAGGAGAGCACTTTGCATCAAGGGGCCTCACAGAAAAAACAAAACAGAAGAAAAGCTTATTTTATACTAAAGGTAACTCAGCCGTATACTCTTGAGAGCAGGACGCATGTGCTGTGACTCTGTTTATAATCCTTTGGTATTTTGTACACAACAGGAAATCAAATCGCTCTAACTATAACCTGGAATGAAGAAGGAGGGGAAACCCTTATACTGTGGCTGAAAAAGACCTACACCAGAGGACAGAGCTGCTGTCACCTTTCCTTGACAAATGTCCCCTGAAAAACACTGGGAAACTGACCCCAATAAAATACTACACGTATAATTGTAACTTAGGAAACCCACAAAATTCTACAGATACCTGAGGAAAACTCTTATTACAAACAAAATACACTTCACTATTTTTATTCTTATAAATCCCATTACCTTTGACAGATTCTTTTATTACAGCAACAAATTGAACCCAGAGAACATCAGGATCAATTTCAACCCAGCCGGTTTGAGGATAAAGACTTTCTACCTATTTAGGAAAAGAAAAGATTTAGTAAAAACAACATTAGATCAAGTCAATAGTATCTGAGTCTTAAGATTACTGGTTAAAATAATTAACAACATGGTTTTATTATCAAATTCATTTTTATTGTTAATATGGGAAAAAAAACATATATGAAATAAAAAAGGGCTGTACACCAAAATAACAGTAGTTATCTTTAGTTCATGAGTTTACAGAGGATTTCAGCTTTTTTATTTTATCTTTATTTTCTAAGTTTTCTACAATGAAGGTGTGTTGTTTTTGTAATAAGAAAAAAAGACTTTAAAAATTAAATAAAGTACCAAGCTCTGGTTCAGATTACAATGGAGTAAGCACACTCCATCCTGACTCTCCCACTGAACGCAGACACAACATCTGTACAGAATGCATGGAGCAATTATTTGCTGGTATTAAAAAGTTCACAGTGGCAGGCAGATTGGGAAAGAAGATAAGAATTCTAATACCACTAAACTGGTGGTGAGTTTCCCATTTTTCTTCTGGTATCCCCAGGCCTGGACCCAAGGCAACATAAAAACCAGAGTGGGAACCAGGGTACAGAGGAAACTCTAGGCTAACCAGAACCAGAAAATCCCAACTCACATGGGGAAAGATCATCAATAGATACCAATTCCAAGATGACACCGATATCTAATAAAGACTTTAAAGCAGCTATTACAGCATTGAAATAAATGGAAAAACAGAAAGTCTCAGCAAAAAAAAGACATGAAAAACAAAACGAAAATTTTAGAATTAAAAAATACAATAATTAGAGGAGTGAAGGAAATGTAGAGACGTTGGTTAAAGGGTACAAACTTTCAGTTATAAGATAATTTCTGGAGACCTAATGTACAACATGGACACTATAGTTAATAATGTTGTATTGTACACTTGAAATTTGCTAAGAGAGTAGTTCTCAAGTGTTCTCAACACACACACACACACACACACACACAGTAATGAAGTGAGGCAAGGGGTAGGTTAATTACCTTGATTGTGGTAAATAATTCGCAACATATACGAAACAATTCGCAATGCCTACCAAAACATCACATTGTGTGCCTTAAATATATACAATTTTTGTGTCAATCATACGCAATAAAGCTGGAAGAAATCAATTAAAAAAAGAAAAATATAATAAGTAAAACAAAAAACTTACTGGATTGGCTCAGTAACAGAAAGGAGATAACAGAAGAAAGTTAATAAATTTGAAGATAGATCAATAGAAATTATCTAATCTGAACAACAGAAAGAAAAGAATCAGAAAAAAATGAACAAAGCCTCAGGGATCTGTGGGACAAGAGCAAAAGGTCTAATGTTTAAGTCATCAGAGGCCCCAAAGAAGAAAGGAAAGAGCTCAGTGCAGGAAAAATACGACTTCAGGGCAGTAATAGTGCTAAAGACTCCCCAAGTTCAGTGAAAGATTTCAAATCTATATATTCGAGAAGCTTAGAAAACTCCTAACAGGATAAATCCAAAGCATTACACATCCAGATCCAGCATAATTAAAATGCTAAAAACTAAAAACAAAAGAAAATAATGTGAAAGCAGCCAGACACATTACATATACAGAAAAATGATTCGAATGACTGTGGATTTCTCATCAGAACCATGAAGGCCAGGAGGAAGCGGCTCACCGTTTTTAAAGTGCTAAAAGAACTGTCATGCACAACTCTGTATCAAAATCCCAACAGGATTTTTTGTAGGTATAGACGTGCTGATTCTAAAATTTACACGGAAAGGCAAAAGAACTAAAATAGCTAAAACAATGTTGAAAAAGAATAAAATTGGAGGAATCACACTATCCAATTTCAAGATTTACTATGAAGCTACAGTAAACAAAATAGCATGCTAATAGCATAAAAATAGACAAATAGATCAATGGAACAGAATACAGTCCAGAAATAGACCCACAGAAATATGACTAATTGATTTTTGACATATGTACAAGACAATTCAATGGAGAAAAGATAGCTTTTTCAATAGAGTTGGAACAATTAGACATCCATATGCAAAAAAACTAACCTCAACCTAAACCTCACATCTTACACAAAAATTAACTCAAAATGGATCATAGATCTAAATGTAAAACATAAAACTGTAAAATGTTTAGAAGAAAACACAGGAGAAAATCTTTGTAATTTGGGGTTAGGTGAAGAGTTCTTAGACACGATACCAAAAGTACAATTCATAAAAAAAAAA